GAGGCAGCCATTGCCGTTAGGTGTCATGCATGTATCCTCCCAACATGGATCCAGTACAGGAATGAGAAAGACAATACCCAGTTTAACACCTTTCTTGATCATTTATCCATAAGTAATGTTATTCATCGCAATTAGTAATATTGTCTTGCTCTGTCCCATACTTTCTAGCTTCCTCCTAATAAGACTCACATTCTTTTTTCAACAGATGAGGTTCAAGTTGGATCCGAAAGATGATGCAACTAAACAAGCATGCACTCATGTTTTTCAGTCTGCTCTGCGACAGTATCAATACCACCTTAGAAAATCTCACTTTGAAGGCAAGGCTAACAATGAAACCGCCCAAACATCTCAAGTGGAATATATTACAGATGAAGACTGGACGACCCACATTAAACACTAGTCTGATCCAAAGTATCAGGTAGGCTATATATATTTGATCAGACCACATATTGAACTTGTATTTATGTATGTACCTTACAAGTGTATCTTCTTCTAGGCTAACTATTTGAAGAACAAAACCAACCGTTCTAAAGTGAAATTCCAACAGACAACAGGATCTCGTAGCTATATTGCACACTGTGAGGCTCTTGTAAATAGCTGCTACTTCCTTCTTTTTTTGTGCCATATTATCGTATCTATATTGACTTGTTCCAAATACAGAGGAAAGCCCGTGCGGACCAAAAAGAACCTGAACCGAATGCAGTGCAAATCTTCAAGGATTGCCACACACTACAAAATAAAGACACATCCGTGACATTTTGGGCCGAACGAAAAAAATTCTGTCATACATATGACACTTCTATGACGATAATTGTGACAAAACCCGGTATCATGATAGATGTGGTGGGCTCCTACTTCTATGACAAAAAAGCATGACAGAAAATGGGCTTTTCGTCCTGGGCGGGTCGGAGACGCAGCTGCATGACATTCTTTGGGCCGTCCATGATGGAAAAAACCATGGTAGAAGCAAGGGGGAGGAAAATTTCAAGGAGTTGCCGGTTACGGTGGGAGGTCGGGGGCCAAGCGATGCACGTTTCTCTCGTACACGTACGCGTATGTGTGCGAGGCGTTGGCTCTAACTGAACCCGAGCGAGGCGTTGGGCTCTAACTGAACCCAATCGATTGCACTGCAGGCTACGCGTTACTGAACCCGAGCGATCGATCGATGGTTGTTAACTGAACCCGATGGAGCAATTCCTTCACTGCTGCTGCTAACTGAAGCTGATTGATTGGATGAACAGTGAGCGTTGCGGGGGGGGGGGTTGGATGAACGGTGAGCGGTGGCGTTGCCTCTGGATGAACAGGACCCCGTGGTGTGGAGGGCTGGATGAACAGTAGACGGTGGAGGGGTGGCCGTGGAGGGGTGGTTGAACAGGACCCCGTGGTGTGGAGGGCTGGATGAACAGTAGATGGTGGAGGGCTGGATGAATAGTAGATGATGGAGGGGTGGTTGAATAGTAGCGGGTGGAGTAGCGCGCGGTGGAGGCTGGATGAACAGGAGCCCATGGAGGCTGGAGGAGGTCGACGGTAGCACGTGGAGGCTGGAGGAGGTCGACAGTGGAGATGAACAGTATCCCGTGGAGTCCCGTTTTGCGGTATGTCACTCCCCTCCCGATGAACAGGACCTCCGTTTCGACCGTAGCAGGTCCGTTTCCTCCGTTTTGCGGTACGCCACACCCCTCCCGATCAACAGGACCCCCGTTTTGACCGTAGGAGGTCCGTTTCCTCCGTTTTGCGGTACGCCACACCCCTCCCGATCAACAGGACCCCCATTTCGACCGTAGGAGGTCCGTTTCCTCCGTTTTGCGGTACGCCACACCCCTCCCAATCAACAGGACCCTGTTCCGAATGTAGGAGGTCTGTTTCCTCCTTTGAGCGGTACGCCAGGCCTCGTTTACATCGCATGTTCCGTCCAAGCCCTTCCGATGAACACGACCACACATTCCGTTCCGACCCAGCCGGTTGGCTCCCCATGAACACGACAACGACGTTGTTTCTCCGTTCCGACCTAGCCATGTACACGAGCCCTCGCCGTACGTATGCGCGAGTAGGCGTTCGAGACCCCGCCCGTATGTACACATAGTGGCTGTATTTTCTTTCTTGCACCCTGGCCGCTGTACGTACGTGTACATGCGACGTGCGTGCCTCTACTATGACACGTGCGCGCCTCTACAATGACCAGTATGTATGTACACGTTCGCGACCAGAATGACAACGCTACATACGCTTCGACCAGGTGGGCCCCGACTGTCAGGCACTTCCTTACGTGCGAAAATGTAGCTGGTGGGTCCCAGCAGTCAGAGGGGTGAATCGTTTTTTTTGTCCGGACGCACTTCCTTGTGTGCGAAGATGTAGCTGGTGGGTCCCAGCAATCAGGGGGACGAATCGTTTCTTTTTGCCCGGACGCACTTCCTTGCATGCGAAGATGTAGCTGGTGGCTCCCAGCAGTCAGGGGGAAACATTTTTTTGGTGAAATACGGTGGCCGGTCTGGTGGGTCCCAGCTGTCAGGTGGAGGAATAATTATTTTGCACGTAATAAGGAGGCACTTCCTTGCTGCGGCCGTGGACCCAGCTGTCAGCCTCTCCACGTACAGTCCACGTCCGATGGAAGCCGTTCCTTGACCACGTTGACCACGCCGCGCCGAGAGCACCAGGGCGGTGGACAACGGCGAGGCCTAGGAAGGGGACGATGCGGAGCCGGGGAAGACGCGGCAGTGGATGCCCACACGTAGAGGAGTACGAGGGTTCACTCGTTCGTTGCGGCGTGAGGCTGCCGTCGCCGCAGAATAACAGAGGGCGTGGGTGAGTAGAGGGATGGCCTGGCCAGCGGTGGGAGTAGTAGGGGCGGTGACGCCTCCGCCGCATCGCATACGGCCACGGGAGGCAGGAGCACGAGGCACGACCGGCGCTGGTTTGGGCGGCTGGAGCAAGAAGACCAGAGGTTGAATAAGCACTACGGCCGTTGGATGGACATCGTACGGTCACTGGAGTTAGAATCGTGCATATTGACTAAGTTGACAAAGCCCTCTATCCCCGTCAACTTAGTAGGCCCACAAGTCAGCCTGCCACTATACTGGGTCCCAGCTAACAGGGGGAGTATTCATTTTTTTTGTGCGTAATAAGGAGGCACTTCCTTGCCTGCGAAGATATAGCTTGTGGGTCCGAGCTGTCAGCGGCGGTAACGTTTTTTCATGAAATACAGAGGCCCTTTCGGTGGGTCCCCGATGTCAGGTGGAGGAATCGTTATTTTTCGCGTAATAAGGAGGCATTTCCTTGCGTGCGGTCGTGGACCCAGCTGTCAGCCTCTCCACGTACAGTCCACTTCAGATGCATGTCGGTTGTTGACCACTTTGACCAGGCCGCGCCGAGAGCACCAGGGCAGTGGACGACGGCGAGGCCTAGGAAGGGAACGACACGGAGGCAGGGAAGACTCGGCAGTTGTTTCCCACACGGAGGGGAGTACGACTGTACGAGGGTTTACTGGTTCGTCTGCCGTCGCCGGAGAATAACAGCAGGTGTGTGTGAGTAGAGGGATGGCTAGGCCAGCGATGGGAGTACGGTGGGGCGGTGAGGGCTGCGCGGCAGCACAGCCGGCCGCGGGGAGGAGGGAGCAGGCAGTCCCGCGGCGCTTGTTTGAGCGGCTGGAGCAGGAAGAGCAGAGATTGAAGAAGCACGACGGCCGTTGGATGGACATCGTACGGTCACTGGAGCTAGAATCGTTCATATTGACTAAGTTGACAAAGCCCTCCGTCCCCGTCAACTTAGTAGGCCCACAACTCAGCCTCCCACCATGGTGGGTCCCAGCTAACAGGGGGAGTATTCATTTTTCTGTGCGTAATAAGGAGGCACTTCCGGTGGGTCCGAGCTGACAACGGGGGCAGCGTTTTTTTGCAAAATACGGTGGTCCGTCCGGTGGGTCCCAACAGTCAGGGACAAACGTTTTTTCGCGAAATACGGTGGCCCGTCCGGTGGGTCCCAGCAGTCAGGGGGGAAACATTTTTTCCGCGAAATACTGGTGGCCCGTCCGGTGGGTCCCTGCTGTCAGGTGGAGGAATCTCTACTCCTAATGGACCAGTTGGTGAATAGTCCGCGCGGTTTATTTTCGTCATCCCCATCACCGTTTTTTTTCGTCATCATCCCATCTCTGCCAAAAAACCTTTGCCAAAAAAACCCTCATGCCTAGAGCAGATCGATCGCAATTAATCCACGTATAGTAATAAATCAATCCAGGTATGGTAAGGCCATAATTCAGAAAAATTTGAATGGATCAGAACCTTCCATATTGTCACAAATTATTTAGTAATGTATTTATGTGAAAAAATCAATCACGGTCAAGCTGAGAAAAAAATCATGATCCAATTTGAAAAGAATCAATCACGATCCATAAATCACACGCACCAGAGAAAAAAAAAATCTGACGAAGAAGGCTGCCCTTGATCTACTATTCGATACAACGACTGGAACCACACCACAGCAGCCATCGCGGATCTCTTCGCCGATCCATCCCCACCCCACCTGCCTCCTTCCTGATCCCGACCTCCCGAACCCTACCTCGACGCCAACCGCGCCGCCGCCTCCTTCGACCCACCACTCCGTTCCATTGATCCACTCCGCGACGGCCAGTTCTCGCGGCAGTCGCCGCCCGCTCTTCTCCTCCTGGTCCACCTCCCCACCAAGCTCTCTCTCCTAGATCGTGAGATGGTAGCGGAGGCACATAGGTTTCGGCTTCTCCACTAATGGCGATATCAAGAGCTGGTGGAGGCCGGCCAATGGACACGTCTCTCGCCCTCGCACGTAACGAAAAAAATCAGCCAACATGCCTCCCCTCGATCCGTTTCCAACGCGGATAGTCAAAGACGCCCCAGCCGCCATAGCGGAGTCCTTCGCCGACACCGAGGTACGACAGGAGCCGACGCCCTCATCCCTCTCTTTTCACACTCGCCTATTTAGCTGGTCGTTGCCTCTCAGCGGTGACTACCCTAGCGGCGGTTGCGGGAAAGATGGATCCTTATCCTCCCGAAAATAGACTCGGCGCCCTCGTGGTTTGTAGCGGCACACTCCCTTCCCACGCCGCCGAAGAGGCCCCCAGGGCGGCCGACGACGCCTTTAGCGGCCTTCCGGAGACACAGCAAGTCTGGCCTACGGTGGGGTGGCGGCATGCGCAGCATGGTCGTCGTTTGATTCAGGAGCGACCTCCGGCTGCTGAACAACCAGTCACTGGAGCACGTGTGGATGGCCTCTGGCACTGTCCTCACCAATGGAGGAGCCTCGCCTATGCTGCAGTGCTGCAGGGCGGTGGTCGGGGTGGTCCGCACCGGCGCCTACAATGTGTGCCTCATCCTAACTGGCAAAGTGATCTTCAGCCTCCCCATCAACTACACCCTCGGCATCTCCCTTCCGAGGATCTGCAAGTCACTCCCCGTCCCGCTCGTTTGTAGAGTTCGGTTTCTGCTTGCAACAATTTATTTTCATTGAAGAAATTTACTTCTAATTAACGAAAAATGTTCTTGTTTGTTCCATGCTTGTGATGTGTAGATACGGCGACGCAGATCCTAGCTCCAGATGTCTTAAATTCTCCTTTGTTGACCTTGCCTTGACATCGCCTCGGTACGGACCACTGACTGTACATTAATATTACTATAGTGAATTAACTTGCAGGGCCTATTGCATTTGCTCCGGCACTGCCCCCCTCTGCATAAGTATCTTCAATGGCCTTCTGATAGTACCATATCTGTATTGAAGTTGCACATTCATTTGTTCTGAATAGATGTCTCGCAATTCTTCCGCACTGTTGCCACCGGATTCGTCGGTTGATGAGAAGGCGCTGTTGCCGTGAGTGGAATCGACGCCGATCATGCAGGGGCAGAGATAGGTGGTGGTACCCATCATGCGTTGGTAGATATGTTTTTGCAAGTCTGTGTTACACTTGGTATTGTGTGCGTATGTATGTAGTTAGACAAGTAAATCTGTTTCATGGAGGAGAGAGTGCAGCTCTGTGAAGAGTTCATGAATACTTCTGAAAGAATGATCAGCTGACAGTCTATAAAAGGTATAGAAATGGCATGCTTGGTCCAAAGTACAACAGTTTGTTGGCTTGCTTCGGACAGTCTTTCGCCGTGCTATATTTGTCAAGAGGTAATATTTTGTATTGTCTACACACATTACTAGCTGGCCTGTGCTAAATGTTCGGTCATTATGCAGGTAATGACATATGAGAAGCAAAGAGGATCAAATGATTCCACATACTGGTTAGTGTGCCTTTTCTAGCCCAATTCCATGTTTGAAGCCTTCTATATAGAATGTTCTAATTCATACTGAACTGTTATTCCTGAGATGACAATGGTTTCAGGGTATTATTTGAACTGATATGGGGGGCTACTTCAGATTCCTTTTCAGCAAAATATGGGAACTCCATTTTCTTGCAAGGTAAAAAATATACAATTGCATCATTCTGAATTTTTTCCGCACATGTATATTACGGAAAGGATGCACACATGTTTTCCTTATTCTGTGATCTCCTGCGATCATCGATTCACAAAGAAATCTCCTGTGATCATTGCTAATTGTCATTTGTTTTCAAAATTTTGGGTCATAGATTATATTGCTAATTTTTATTCATCAAATTTCCTGTTCAATCAAAGACATTTGTGATTCAGAACATTGAGAGTTTAGAGGGTTAGAGCTCAGAAGTACTAGCAGACTGCCAATGTATTCAGTCAAAGGCATTTTATTTATGTATCTTCTTTACATGTCTGCCAGGGTAACCATAGCATCTACATTGCTTTATGCCTGAAACTGAGAGCTTTGGAACAGTGCTATGCGCTATTGGACAAGTAGATACAGAGATACCTATCATTGGTGGTCAGCAGCAAATACGAGAAATGTTAGATACATCCACACTCTTTCTTGATCTATGGTTAATCCCCCTCTTGCCTACCATAAGCTCTTGGTGAATTACCAGATTAAGCGGAAGTGCTAACCTATTGTTGGTAGCAGTAGGAGATGTTGATGTTCCATGGAATTGTTAATCCCGTCTCCAAGTTTTAATGTTTGATCTGCGTGTTATTGACCTAAGAGAAAATGGGTTCTGAAGCTTCGATATGATGTATTTCTAACAAATAGCGACAAAATCAATACCTCACACGGGCAATTACTCTTATATGGTTTGATGCTTGAAAAATTGTAGAGTCAGCACCTCTTATTAAAGTGTACACGATGCAATAAAAAAAGCATCTTGAGTACCATGCCCAGGTACAGTTTTAATGCTTATAGCTGTATTTTGCTCCATTAGAAAATACAACTATATTTTATTCCTGATAGGGCAATCTTATACGGGGAAAATTACTCCTGAATGTGTACAACTATATAATGTTCCTACAGATGTATTTTGTTCCATTAAAAACATAGTATTTCTGCTATCTCAGTTGGATGGCCACTGTTATGTCAATTTGATGGCCACTATGTTTTGCTACGGCAGAAGATTCAACTATATTTTGCTAATACAAGTACAACACTCAACCTCTGCTATGCCAATTCGATGGCCACTACATATTCAGACGGGCAATGAACCAAATAACTCTTTCACTGGGCCACTGATAATATTATTGGTCGAGCTGATTAGGGAAGTAAACTATATACAACAATAAAGTGAAGTTGAACTGTTTAGAGAAGTAAAATATACAGAAGTAATCTGAAGTACACTTGGATCCAAAAGATGTTGGTGGAAATACTTCAACAAGCTTGATGCATTCATTATTCTGTAATACTAGGATTAACAATGATGTCGCTGTTGGTTACTTTGCAGGTAACAATGTTACGCTGATGACATAGTTTATTTAGCTCTCAAGAATGGCTGCTTATCGTTCAAGAATCTGGACAACTACTTCTATTTCGTATTCATACTAAAACTTCTATGAAGCAACAAATTTTCCTTCTTGTGAATTTGTTCTGAAGCTACTAAAATATCCCCTTGTACTAAAATAAGATTTCTACTCAAATTTTGTCAAGATACTAAATTTTACTTGCTTGCTCATGCCTTAAAATCTACCTTGTTGCCGAAATTTAATGAGGAGCTCAAGGGAAAAAATGAACCAAGGAGAAGGGATCCAGAGAAGGAGAATTAAGATGTGCCTTTCACTTATAATTTCTAAACACTACAGGAATCATGATATCGTGTTAGCATAATTGCATGGTTACGTGTTAGAAGTGTGAATGTGGGAGGCTTGGCCGGGGGATTGTGAGCTGGAGATTGTGGAGGAAAATAAACAAGACTGATTTGACTGTAAAAAAATGTTGATGTGCTTTTTATGAAATATTTGGCCAATCATGTGTTGCAACGTGGGCACATATTTTCATAGTTCTATATCAGTCATATCTGACAGAGATCTGGATGTTCGGTATATGATATGTAGTATACTATGCAGACCGCTGTTAAATATCATATACCCAGCCCGTGTACTACATATCATATATCCACTCTGCACACTACATATCATATACCCAGTCTAATGAACCATGCGGTTCTGGCATGAAGAAAAATCCGTATATGGATTTTTTTTCATGGTTCATGGGACCAACAACATTGAAAGAGCATTTCAGCTGTATGATTAGGCTTCTTGAATTCTGACGTGGAGTATGTGATCGCGAGCTCACAGGAGCTCGGAATCACGCCCGTCCAGAATTGCTATGAGATTCGTCGCATTAAATGCTATAGCCAGTTGGTGGGTCCATGCCGACAAAGGAAAATTAGGATATACGGCACAATACGCGTCTGACAGATGGGGCAAGGTGGACGGAGGGGTGCACGGCGTCGCCTGTGCATGCCTGAGCCGTGGCTCGAGCTTGTCGCAGGCGTCCTGATCCGTGGATCAGGTACGGTGCTTTCTGCTAGCGCCGGCAGTGCCCGAACTAAATGCAGTAGTTGGGTCAGTCGCTGGTTACGGGGGTGAAGTTGGATTTGCCTCTCGTCCCGGTCGGTGAAGAGGTGGAGATATTTACTCCGGCGACGGCGACTGGGCGGTGCAGCGACCTCGGACAGGCTCCGGCGACCATGGAGTTCTTACTGCAGCCGCTAAACAGGTTGGGATCTGCTACTTGGCCCATTATTTTCAATGGTTTTGACTCGGATTTTGGGTACTGATCTAGATTTCGTCGCTTAAAATTTTGGGTTGGTTAAGTAGAACATTCCTGGAAGAGGTGAATGATAACAACGGGGCAATGGAGCCCGTGCGGTTCCCAGTATCCGCGGTGGCTGAGGTTGAGGATCCAGCACCGGCCGCTTCAAGTGCTGACGGGCAGATCTGCGGGGCGGAGGCAGCAGGCGCGGACATGGCTCAGTGCTCCGAGCACTCAATGGAGCAAATTGACCCAAAAACACCAGGGCGGACGCAAAGGTACTACAACTTACCATCTGAATTGCATCAAAATTTGGCACTGCAAATGTGTGTGTCCTGTCAGATATGCAAGCAGTAACTGATGAAATGAGGGTGGAACAGTATACATAACCGTGATTAAATAGCATGAACACCACCAGTATATATACGTGTGTGTGGGAAGGTTTTATAAACTTGTTTAGGATAATATAGTGTGAACTGCAATTTTGTAAGATGTTAGTGTAGCTCAGAATTTTGTGGACTGGAATTTCATAACAAATGGCTGCAGCTGAAAACACCACCTGATTGTTTCTCTGCTGTGACTGGGCAGAGTGCATGTAGGTGCTGCTGCTCTACGAAGGCCTCCGTGCCCGGACAGGGTCACGGCGCTGGAGAAGACTGACAGGGAATTTGCCGAGCATCCAGGTGACATAGTTATGGTGCCAAAGATTGGAACAAATTTTGACACGCTCGGAGAAGCTTATGACTTTTAACTCCTGGAAGAAAGGATTTGGAATACGATATGGAAAGAGCAGGCTAAACGTTAGCAGGACTAAGTGTATGCAAGATATAGTCTGTGGATGCGCGGTACGGCTAATGTTACAGCAGAAATTGATTACTAATTTTTCATAAAGAACAGATTTGAAAATGCCTGTGACTGAATCTGACTTTTTGTTTGTTCCATCAGGGGAAGCCAATCGTTGAAAATACTCGTTCATGCCGGTGTGAATGCCCAGCCCTCATCAGACTACTGCGGACAAAGGACAATGGATGGTACGTAGCAGAGCACCGAGATGGGCACAACCATGCACTTTCCCAAACATATGGACAGACAATACACTGGCCTACGGCAGTGAGCGCGGAAGCACGGATCTGCGTGATGGACACAGCAGCGGTGGTCAATGAGGGACAGCTCGCGTCAGGCCTCGGAGCTCTGAACTGGAAAGATGAATCCACATGCTTCTATCTGGAATTAGAGGTGAGGAAAATACGTTTCATTTTTTCTTTAGCTGCTTAGAGTTAATTTTGCCCATTTAGAATCCAGACTACTGTAAGTTGCTTTTGAAATCCTGGGTGAATGGTCCAGTTAGACTGATGGATGTTGTTTACTGGAATAAGAATTTTGCACTGTATATTAATTCATTAGTTGAGAGTGCAGCATGTTGTTTACTGGATTCAGTTAGTTCAGTTGATTGAGGTAACTGAAAGAGTCCTGCCTGGATGGTCCATGATGGATGTTGTTTACTGGAGTTAACAGTTTTCGATGGTCTAGTAATTTATTTATTGGGAGTGCAGCATGTTGTTTACTGGTTCAAGTTAATTGAGGCAAGTAGTCAGGTTGCGGAATGGTGCTGCTGCCCCCAGCATGCACCTTGCCCATATCGGGTGAGCGCTTTCAAGAAGGCAGTTAGGATGTTTGCAGAGAACCCGAGCAATAATGTTATCACTCCAGCGCTTGGGACAAGTATCGACTCACTTGGCGAGGCGTATAATTTATAGAACTTGTATTCTTGGGAAAGGGGTTTTTGAATTTGACATGGAAAGAGTAGGTTGAATGTTTAGAGAACGAAATGCATGCAAAAAATAGTATGGGGATGCTCGGTACGTATGACATGTGGAGCACTATGGTTACTTATTTGGGGTTCATTTAATTGGGGTTGATTTTTAATCGATTCATGATTGTTATTTGCTCTGATAAAATAAAATACATATGTAGGATAAAGCTGGTGTTGAGAACACGAGGTCTTGTCGTTGCGAATGCCCGGCTCTAATAAGACTGCTACGGGCAGAGGACAATGGGTGGTACATTGCAGAGCACAGAGAGAGTCACAACCATTCCCTTTCACTGAATTTGGGTGAGACGATCCACTAGCCCTCGCACAAGCACATAGATGTGTTCGGCTGGTGACTACATGTTCTCGTCTCTTTGATCGTTCTTTTTCAGATCTGAAACTGCACTGCATCAGTGGTGATTGAACTCAAGTTCTCGCCGGATTTCCATTGATTGAGGAGGTGGACGGCACGTAATGCTTGAGGTGTCCGTCTAGGACACCGGTGGCCGCGGATGCCATTGATGTCCATCAGGTGTCGACAGCAGCCATTAGTGCCGAAGGGCAGGTCTGTGAGCTGGCTGCTAGTGTGGGCTCCGGGAAGGAGAGCTCCCCGCCGGAATTGGAGCTGTCTGCGGGGAAACTCAATCCGCAAGCACCATGGTTGGCAATGAGGTTAGTGTTTGACATAATAATTTTAGTAGATGTGCGGAAACATTCATTGCTGCAGTGTGGTAAGACTGTACTTACAAGGTGTGTCATGCATTTCCGACAGAAATATGTAGCAGCAACCAGTTTTTTTCACTTCAATTGTATTGAGCAAAGCTGAGTTGCAGTGTGGTCAACTGGTAAAACTCCCTTTTAAATAGAAAAAAGACACTAGTGAAATATGTTCAGAAAAAATCTTATAAGTTTTTAAGGGACATCAGGTTGCACTTTGTAATTTGTAGGAAAGCTACAAACCGTTGAAATAGAAATGCTATTCGCACAGACTTTTTAAAGGGCTAAGTTGCGGCATTGCTTGTAAGATGTATGCTCCCTCCATGTCAGAACTGAAGTCGCAATAACCTTTAGAAATAAGTGTTGTGTGATTTGGTGATTACCAAAAAATAGAATGTAGTGGAACTGTATGCTGATTAAGGTGTTTAGGAAACGCTAGGTGCATCCACTCATCCAGTACATTTCTTTTTGGAAGTACACTGACTCGTTCGTGTGCTTGAAGCTGGACATGAAACAACAGTGTGGTAGTTATATGGTGCGGTACTGACTAAACTGGGGTGTCATTTATAAGCAGGATTCGCATTGGATCAGCGAGTCCATTTAGAGGCAGCGTGGTCAAGTTAGCCGGACTGTGGGCGCCCGCAATAATAAAAGAGATTGGGAGACCATGCAGACCTGCTCACTGCAAGAACCACGGTGTACAGGGTCACTCGAGATTTTTTTTGTACAAGCCGGGTGAAATGAGACTGGGTTCAGGGGCTTGAGTCGGCGTTCATGCCAAATGGTTAGACAGTTGGGTTCGAATTCCCTCCAGTTGTGCATCACAAAGAGTTTTTAGTTATGTCAACGTGCGTGTGTTATTTCTGCTGTAATGATCCTCTATTTCCTTTGTGGACAAAGAATTGGCTCAATGGGACTAATATGGTACGTGAATTTTAGACTGAACGACAATTGATGTGCATCTAAACTTCATGTCCTATTTGTACGTGGCAGTATTACTCGTGTGAGCTGTAGGCAGAAATTGGTTAGGATCTAATCCTTGCTCTGTTTTGAATTCTGAGACAAGGAACAATTGACGGGCGGTAGAAGGCTCGGGGTCGGAGAAAATGGCTCAGCTCGTTAGCGATCCATCTGTCCCGATTCTAGGGGACGGCAACAGGCTTAATAAATGTTGGGCCATAGTGGGCCAAGCAACAGATTGATGGGACATATACTATTTGGAATACGCCTGCTTATACACTGGGATGTCCGAATCTTGCAGAGAAACAATGTGGGAGATAATGAGAGTCTGTGCGCTCGAGCTCAATTCAGCATTTTCGATCCCGTCTCCAAGTTTTAATGTTTGATCTGCGTGTTATTGACCTAAGAGAAAATGGGTTCTGAAGCTTCGATATGATGTATTTCTAACAAATAGCGACGAAATCAATACCTCACACGGGCAATTACTCTTATATGGTTTGATGCTTGAAAAATTGTAGAGTCAGCACCTCTTTTTAAAGTGTACACGATGCAATAAAAAAAAGCATCTTGAGTGCCATGCCCAGGTACAGTTTTAATGCTTATAGCTGTATTTTGTTCCATTAGAAAATACAACTATATTTTATTCCTGATAGGGCAATCTTATACGGGGAAAATTACTCCTGAATGTGTATAACTATATAATGTTCCTACAGATGTACTTTGTTCCATTAAAAACATAGTATTTCTGCTATCTCAGTTGGATGGCCACTGTTATGTCAATTTGATGGCCACTATGTTTTGCTACGGCAGAAGATTCAACTATATTTTGCTAATACAAGTACAACACTCAACCTCTGCTATGCCAATTCGATGGCCACTACATATTCAGACGGGCAATGAACCAAATAACTCTTTCACTGGGCCACTGATAATATTATTGGTCGAGCTGATTAGGGAAGTAAACTATATACAACAATAAAGTGAAGTTGAACTGTTTAGAGAAGTAAAATATACAGAAGTAATCTGAAGTACACTTGGATCCAAAAGATGTTGGTGGAAATACTTCAACAAGCTTGATGCATTCATTATTCTGTAATACTAGGATTAACAATGATGTCGCTGTTGGTTACTTTGCAGGTAACAATGTTACGCTGATGACATAGTTTATTTAGCTCTCAAGAATGGCTGCTTATCGTTCAAGAATCTGGACAACTACTTCTATTTCGTATTCATACTAAAACTTCTATGAAGCAACAAATTTTCCTTCTTGTGAATTTGTTCTGAAGCTACTAAAATATCCCCTTGTACTGAAATAAGATTTCTACTCAAACTTTGTCAAGATACTAAATTTTACTTGCTTGCTCATGCCTTAAAATCTACCTTGTTGCCGAAATTTAATGAGGAGCTCAAGGGAAAAAATGAACCAAGGAGAAGGGAGCCAGAGAAGGAGAATTAAGATGTGCCTTTCACTTATAATTTCTAAACACTACAGGAATCATGATATCGTGTTAGCATAATTGCATGGTTACGTGTTAGAAGTGTGAGTGTGGGAGGCTTGGCCGGGGGATTGTGAGCTGGAGATGGTGGAGGAAAATAAACAAGACTGATTTGACTGTAAAAAAATGTTGATGTGCTTTTTATGAAATATTTGGCCAATCATGTGTTGCAACGTGGGCACATATTTTCATAGTTCTATATCAGTCATATCTGACAGAGATCTGGATGTTCGGTATATGATATGTAGTATACTATGCAGACCGTTGTTAAATATCATATACCCAGCCCGTGTACTACATATCATATATCCACTCTGCACACTACATATCATATACCCAGTCTAATGAACCATGCGGTTCTGGCATGAAGAAAAATCCGTAGATGGATTTTTTTATGGTTCATGGGACCAACAACATTGAAAGAGCATTTCAGCTGTATGATTAGGCTTCTTGAATTCTGTCATAACCCTCATATTACGTGAACGAACATGCTTTGTCAGTTTTCCCCAGGTTCATTTAAAATTACCACAACAATAATACTGCTCGCTTATTGTACTAATAACTCCTATAGGAGGAGCTTGCAAGTATGTTAAACTTACACGGGCAGGAACTTTGATTCATGGATAAAAGTTGCATGATTAGCCAAGTATGCCTGAACCAATCCTAACCCCCACCCCCCTACTATGAGGATATTAACAAAGTTGTACGTAGGATTGTATTTTTTGCTGAATTATTTGCATATCTTCTACCCCTAAAAAGGGACTTGGTAGCTTCCCCTTCCCCTTCACTGAATTATTTCCACGCCCTGCAAGGGCGGGGTGGCAACCAGTCACATCCACACTGCTCCTTCTCTCCCTCCCCAAATCGCCATGGATTGCGCGCTGCTAGCGCCCCTACTCTCTCACTTCCCGAGCCTCTGTGGATCTTGTGTTGTTAGAGTTGTTCCTCTCACTTCCCTGGTCAATAATTTTGCAGTAATAGATGTCATCTGAAGCAAATAAGTGCCTTTGAAATAATTTAAGTTCCCTTGCCCTATTAATTAGCTTGTTGATTTCTTTTCCTTGATAAGAGAAATAAAATTAATTTTCTGTAACCTAATTTAACAGTGGGAGTCTCTACTGCTGTCATTTCTAAAAAAAGAAATGAACTTAATTATGATAGTGTTTGCGCACACTTGCTGGAACTTAGATAATGCGGCATGCATCTTAATCTCTTCTTTCAAGTTAAGGCCATTTGTACATACTTTTTGATGTACCTGCTGTTTTGAACCCATAAACTTAATGTTGTGCTTGTAGTGTTGGTTCTGGATTTCGAATGAATTTTAACTTGTGGAACGATATCCCATCAACCACAAATAGTAATTTGTAGATTGATATTCTGCTGGTTAAGAAAATGTACTTCCTGGTTTATGATTTCCGTTGATTGAAATCTACATCCTGATTAGTGTTTCTATCTAAGAATTTGCAAGAAAATGTTCAACTCAAGGGAAAGTGAACTTTATCTATTTCCATGTATCTGGTTTGATTAGCACCTGGAATCGTGTTGAAGTGTCTTCATACTTGGTTTTGGAGTTCATGCTCTAAAATGAACTGATATGCTTGTTCATGGTCCAAATTGCTTGTCCGAAGAGTTGATTTCTTCTTCATGAACAGAAATTGCATGGTTTAGCTGCTCCATGCAACCTTTTATCTTATTTTTGGATAACCTGACATATCCTTTTCGTGTCTATTTACTGTACATGTTTTTCTCTGTAACTAGAGGTCGATCTTGCTCCGTAGGACTCAACTCCGCTGGCCTCGTCATCCTTTCTGTCACTGTGGTCGTCCATGTCGAAGGGCTCGCGCCGAGGGAAGCACCATGGATCCATTGGACCCCACACCTGCGCCGACCGATGCTTTGTCTATTAGTAAGCAAGAAATGCAAGCATCCTTCTAAATAAGATATTAGCTATCTTGAGGCTGAAATGCATCCTTCTAAGTAAGATATTAGCAATCAACAAAAAATGACAGCAATTTTATTGAAAACTAAAAACAACCTTGCAATATTGATACAAGGAAACAGAAAAAGAGGCTAAAGCATCACATGATATATATCATTGCGTATACCATGGATCTAAAAACAAAATGTAATGATCGCCCTCTGCTGTGATGGTGTGCATTTCTTGGCATCGGGAACCGGCTTTGGATACATAGGAGGGGGCGGGCGACACTGGGGGGATGGGGAGACTATGGTGAGAGGAACGTACATGCCG